CGGGATACGCCCAGAGTCACGGAACGCATTAAGTTCGTATCCCGAGGTACCACTGTATTATTAAAAGAAACAAAATGTTAATTCATGGGGATGGAGAGGAGAGGAGAGGAGAGGAGAGGAGAGGAGGATTTTAATCAAGGTCCTTGATTTTACGATGTTGTCTAAGGCACAAATAGAAAGCTGCTAGTTTTCAGTAGCATCCTGGAAGTTTTATTATTGCCTTTTGTTTTTATGCAGTTGCGGGATCATGGCCACTTCCAAACTGGATGAATACACTGGAGGCCTGTATGAAGAATTCCATGCCTTGCCTATAATAAATCATATAGTCTCTGTTGCTGGTTGGGGGGTAGAAAATGGAACAGAATATTGGATCGTCCGGAACTCCTGGGGAGACCCCTGGGTAAGGAAGACACAATATGAGACTGTATATTACTATTTTTTAAGTATTTAGCTGGGCAGGAAAAGTCCCCCACTTGGTATAAAGAGCCATTTGGCACAATGGGTGCATAGCTTAAAGCTTAAACTTCTTGAGGAGCTCCCAGCAAAATTTGGCCATTGCACAACCAGGTGGAGGCCACAGTGATGCCATACACATGTTGTCCTTTGCCTCCTCCCTGGACACCTGTGGACTTATTTCAGAGTTGATGAGCTCAGCAGAGGTGAAATTCTCTCTTGGCACTTGGAGTGCATCTCCGAATCAAGACTGAAATGTTTATAGTGACAAAACCTATTGGTTCCACTTGCATAGGTGAGATGTCTACCTCCAGGAGGTCAAATAGCTGATTAGACTTTCCAAGAAGCAGTAGAACAAACATGAAAAAGCTGAGCTCTTTCCAAGGACAAGATCCTTGTCATCAGTGATTCATCTTAAGTCATTTTCTGTAATTGGATTCTTTCCCTGCAGCTGATTTGATTCTGAAAACTGAAGTTCAGCACCTCTTCAGGGTACCAGGGTGGGGAAGCTTGTTCTTGCAGGCAGAGGAGGCTCTTGCATGCTTTATCAGCAGCAAGACATGTGGTGGCACTTTTTGAAGTGGGTAGGGAAATCTGGCCATGCCTGAAGGGACTAGAACATCCCTGGGGCATCCATGGGGTCAAGACTTGGGCCTGAGACCACGGGTTTAAAGCCCTGCCCTTTCATGCAACACTAAGGGGTGGAGTTTTGCTCAGAATTCACAACTGACATCTTGACTTTTTTGTCCCCCCTCCCATGGACACTCCTGATAGCAGGCTAATAAACTGAAGTGATCCACTAAACCAAATGCTGCTCTCTTATTCCGTAGGAGCTCAGTTAATGCTGCTATTTTTCTCCTGCTTTCAACTGCAGAAATCTAGCAGCTACAACTCTTGTTTTAGCCCAGCTGGCCCAAACTTTGCATGGAGCTGAACTGTGGCAATATAACAGCATATACATTCCAGATTAGCTATTAAAATAGAATGGACATTTCTGCAAACTATTTTCATCCCTGAAATCTGCTTACTGAGCTGTATAGTAGCTGATATTCTAAGTCATAATGAGATTTGTTTGATGGGTGGTTTAATGATGCATGAATTTAGCCATAGTAGCTTATAAACCATGGTTTATGGGTAAGCATTGCATCTGAACCAAGCCACAATTTGCTTACAAAAGTATTTTAAGCAAAGTCTGGCTGAATATGATATATGAATCTAATGTACAGTGCTTAAGCCAAGAAGGCTACAAATTACCCATTGTGGTTTAGTATAATGTACAAAACCCTATACTGAATGTTCATCTGTGTCCATCGGAGATTATGAATAGGAGATCTTTGAGTTACATCTGGTTTTTTTAAGAAAGATTTTGGGCAGGCTATGAGCGCTCTAGCTGTGAAATACATCAACAAGCCATATGGAGGTAGGGGTTAGTGACATCTTTACTTCTTTTTCACTCTTTGGGAACAGTTACTTCTTGATTATATGTAGTTCTATACCCTGTACCCAACTGCTCTGTTTTATCTTACACACAGTCCACGATTTTAAGTATTTTTAGGGTACTACCCTGACATGCCAAAGAACTCAATATTCTTATATGAGTTTATGTAATGTATGTCTTCCAGGGAGAGCGTGGCTGGCTTCGGATTGTGACCAGCGCGTACAAAGGCGGAAGAGGAAGATACTACAACTTGGCTTTAGAAGAGGAATGTGCTTACGGAGACCCAATACTCCCCTGAATTTGCCACTGCACTTTCTTTGACTGGTGCTTTTGAGATTTTGATATAAAATACCCTGCAAAACTCACTCTTAAGAAAGGGACAGTGCTATTCAATAGCATTTGGCACTGATGAAATGTTAGCATAATTCAGTTTCTCTTTTTTTAATGATGAATATCCAGTCCCGAATGGACTGCTATTCATTGGATATGCAGAAAATAAACACCAGAAAGTTTGTTTTCTTCATGAGTTGTTAGTTCTGTTGTAAGTTTAACAAATAGCCTTCTAATTACAGTATGTGGGTATCTGTGCATTGGCAAAATGAGATTAATTTGATGCTGGGTTGGGCATTTAAAAGCCCAAACAGCTGGAGTCATCTTTAAATTGAGAGGGGGTGGAGTTTGGGAGCCAAAAGGGTGGAGGTTATCTGTATTGATTTTCTTTTAATGAATGCTTCTTCCCTTCTTTCCTTGTTACATACACATGATTATTCTGCCTTTCTAGTGCCTACCTTTATATTAGTTTTTCAACGGAATTGAGAAAGGGAGTTGTATTTAGAAGAGCTGCTGTAAAAGGAGAAGGTTAACACTACAGAGCACTGTTTCTCAACCTTGGCAGCTTTGAGATGTGTGGACTTCAACTCCCAGAATTCCCCAGCCAGCATGTCAAGGTTAAGAAACACTGCTATAGAAAGAAGGATTATATGAAAACAGAGATCTCCTTCATCACTATATTTCCACGCCAAGATTTAATCCCATATTTTGAAAACTCTTCAGCAGTTGGGTTCATCCAGTGCTCTAGTAGAGAATGGGTTGGAGTTTAACAAGTTGGGTATCCCTCTGCATTCTGCTTTGGCTGGGCCCCCCTTGAAATATTGTAGCCAGTTCTGGGCACTGCAAACTGAGAAGGTTATGACAAACTGGAGCAAGTTCAGAGAAGGGCTATCAGGCTGGTGACAGGACTGGGAACTGAATCCTATGAGGAACACTAAATGAACTCAATATGCTTAGCTTGCAGAAGAGAAGGCTGGTGGAAAATATGATGGCACTCCTCAGATATCTAAAGGGTTGTCATATAGAGGAACAAGGGGACTTGTTCTCCATCACTTGGAAAGGACTGCTGCGACAAAGATGTTGAAAATGCTGGGAAGTAGATTCAGGTTAGACATTACGAGGAATTTTCTGGTGATAAGAGCTGAGAATAAATGGAATAGGGGGCTCCAGGAAGTGGTCTCTTCCCCCTCACTGAAGGTCTCCAGATACAATGTTAATTTTAAAACAAGTTTGAGTTTAGGATGATATGCAACCCAGTGCAATACAAAGAACAGTTCCAAAACAAAGTGGACCTTTTGAATAACACAACAGTGGGCTTCACACCATGCACTGAGGCATGTTTTGGTCAACTATTGTGTTCTGGCCCATTATCAGCCCTCATTCCTGGTAACTTGATCCTGCAGTTTTCTTGGTAATATTTTTGGAAGTGACTTGCCAGTGCCTTCTTCCTAGGGCTGAGAGAGAGTGATTGGCCCAAAGTCACAAACCAGCTTCCGTGCCTAGTCAGGACTAGGCCTCCCATCTTCTAATCCAGCACCTTAATCACTAGACTAAACCAGCTGTCTTGGGTTAATTATAACTTGTTGAATAAGGCATAATGGCTGGTTCAGGTAATATTCTGTGCCCAAATGCACAAGCTAAGCTCCTAAACCTGCATACTATTCCCCAAATTATCATGGAATTATAATATTTAATGTAAGAGGGCAGAAAAATGATTAAATACAGGACAGCAATCATAGAAATGATAATTGAGTATTAATATCATTTTAATTACATTTACATCAGGTCAAATTTAAATGTCCTGGCCTGAGAACTTTTCTCTCCTTGCTTTTTCTATTGTCTGAAGGCACTTTCCAGTTCTGTGTTCAGCCAAATTTTAACAAATGGCATTATGGTTTAGTTTAAAGCACGAGCATCAGGGAAGAGGTGGGGGATGTCCCACATATGAGATTGCCAGACAAATTACACAATTTGCATCTTTTCAATGCTGATGTCATGATGTACATGACATCATTGTGGCATGTACCAGACACCTATGGTGTGAAGTATAAATCAAGTTATGGAGAAGAATGCAACCTGTGTGGGCTCCTGGATCTCCACCTTCTGACTTGTAAATTTATTTATTTATTATTTATTTGTTCAATTTGTATAGCTGCCCATCTCATATACATGACTTTGGGAGGCTTACACAGTTAAAACCCCAAACAGATAGAAATAAATAATCAAACAGTAACAACAGAAAACCATTAAAACCTTAAAAACATAATCTGCAGGACGGTGGCACCCATCTTATGAAAAGTGTAACTGTTCCACAGGCTCCATGCTGCCATGAAAGCTCCTGTAACTTCTGTGTTGTGGTGCCTGCCCTATGGAACAGCCTCCCCGCTGAGATCCAGAAAGTCTTGATCTCTTGGCCTTTCAGAAGGCTGTGAAGATGTGACTTTCCCCCCAGGCCCTGGGCCGGGATGTTAGATGAACCCAATATAGGTGTGGTTTGGGTTGCGAGTTTGTTATATGGTACCTCCATTATTGTATTTTCTTCTTCTCTTCTTCATCTTCCTAGTGTTCTCCAGCAGGTGCAAGGTCCACTTTTCAGATCAACGAACAATATTTCACACGATGGAACGCAGCAACCGGGTCCAACTGGGTGATCTTCATGTCGGTGTCAATTGTGTCCTGCCATCTTTGGTTTGGTCTTCTGCGCAGGGCATTTGCCATTGGTGCTAAAGTGGTAGGTGGTGCAGGCGACAGTGTGGGGTGCTGCTCATAGGACGTGGCCATACCACAGTAGGTGTTTTTCCTGCATTTTCTCTGTTATTGGTGCAGTGCCCATCTGCTGCCAGACTGGATCATTGCTGACGATCCAGTCTGGCAGCAGAAGGTCAAGAAGGGAGACGCCTAATGACCAACGGAGCACTCAGCACCATGTGGTGCTACTGGGTGAGCCATCATTCTATACGCTTTCGATTTTAAGTGAATTGGCGTGCACCTGTCTCAGAGCACTCCAGTAATCTCCTTCCACCGCAGCCATGTTGCTCTCACTGTCGCGTGCACTTCCCCATTAATGCCACTGTCACTTTGCAGATGAGATCCTAAGTAACGGAAAGAGTTTGTCTTTACTAGATCTTCACTGCCAACCTGGGTGGTAGAGGTGCTCAGGCTGGTCTCTAGATACTCAGTCTTGATACTGAGGCACAAACTGAATTGCCTCAGATGGTTGTTCCATGTCTGGACATGGTGCTGCAGTTCTTCCCTGGTGGTAGCTGGAGGAGGACGTCATTGGCATAGAGCAGTGTTGTCCAAACTTGGCCACTTTAAGATGAGTGGACTTCAACTCCTAGAATTCCCCAGCCAGCGTGGCTGGCTGGGGAATTCTGGGAGTTGAAGTCCACTCATCTTAAAGTGGCCAAGTTTGGACAACACTGGCATAGAGCAAGGCCTGGGAGCGCTCTGATGCAGGTCTCGTGATGGTATCTATGACACGAATGAACAGGAATGGCGATAGTGCTGAGTCTTGGTGCACACCAACTTTCACAGGAAAGCTGTTGGAAAGGCTGGTGGTGCATCTCACTCAGCAGCTGGTATTAACACAGAGCATCTGGACCCATTTTATGAGTAGCCTGGGCACACCATGGTCACATAGTACATACAGCATCAGCTGATGCAGAACGCGATCAAAACTTTATCTGGGTGAAGGAAGGCCAGGTGTAATGGCTTCTTTTCTCTGCTTCTCCATGAGCACGCGAGCCGCAAAAATGGTGTCGGTGGCACTCAAGCCCCTTCCATGATTGCATTATGATTATCTTAATTCTTTTTTTATGCAGGCTTTTTTATATTTATCGTTAGCCATCCACAGTTCATACGTAAGATGGGTGGCCAAATAAATTTTCTATGTAAATAAAATAAATATACAAATCAGAGAGGCGCTAGATTATGCACTTCTACATAAAATGTCATCGCGTGAAGTCAGATATTTAGGTAGGTAGCAGCATGTTGGGCAAAACCATAGAAGCCTCAGGCACTCATCAATTATCATTCACATCAACTCTGTGAACCTGACAGGGATGGACTTTGTGCCTCAGAGGCAGACGAGGGCTTGTAGAATCATTTCATTCAGCACCTACAAGTACCTGCAGAGTTACTTCATTCAGCACTTGGCATGTTCGGTGTTTCTAAATTAAGAGCTGTTAATACATTACTGGATGCTTTAGCAAGGTCACAAGAGTACTGCTTACTCAACAGAAACAAGTACTGAGTTTCTCCAGAAGCTGTGACTGTTTTTTCCCCTTTCTCTTTCCCTCCTGCCAGTGTCTGAAAAGGCCTGCTAACTCAGTTCTATACAAATATTTCCCTGAGTAAAGAAAACAGTTACCCAAGGAGTAGGAGAGGAATCATTTGGGTTTCTTTTGAGCTCAGAAGTAGCACAGTAGGTAGCAGATGAGTGTCCACAGGGTGTGGTCAAAAAAGTCAAGATGGTGGCCATGCTGGTGCAATGGATGCTTTGCAGATTGCACTATTGTGGTCGTCTTGATGTTTTGACTGCACCCCATTTTCTTGCTGACCTTTTAAAAGCTGAGCAGGGCCACCACTAGTTACTACTTGGATGGAAGACCACTTGGAAATCTCAGAGCTCTAAGTTAAATCCAGAAGAAAATAGCAACCAACTTCTGTGTTGTTGCCATGAATCCAATACAGACATCTTCACATAGTCATCAGGAGTTGAGCTCAATTTAAGACAGATTATATCTTACTTCCTCTCATAAATTTGGATATTAATCCTTTCCTACAATGTCTGGATCTGTGGTCTTTGAAAGTTTCTGCTGCTTCCAACCTCCACCTTCTGTATATTATCTTACCATATAACTTATTTTTGATTCACTTTCATTTCTTGCTGTCTTTTTCTTGAAACACAATTTCCACGGCGCTCATGACACAACTTCCTTTTAAATCTTGGCCTTTGTGGGCATTGCACATCCCCATCAAATCACAGTTAGCAGCTGCAAAGAGTGCGTTAAAAACAAGAAGCAAACCAAAACCAAGGATTTTGTACTTCTTTATTTAGAAACAAAAGCCAAATATCCTGAGGCACATGCTCTTATGAAAATAATAGCGATACCACAAACCATAACTAAATCCCGGGATACCCCCAGATCGTGAATTACTTCCTCAAAATCCTTGTTTCAGCAGGCTGGAGCCCTGAGGTGGATGATAAAGAAAGGGGGGAGGGAAGGCTCACGAATCCTATCTGGAAACAACCCTATATTTAATTATCAGATAACAAGGTTGCCAACTACTTACTGCCCTATAAGAACTGAAGGGCAC